CATTTTACCATCTAGATAATATGTTGAGCTTTGAACCAGCAAAAAGTCCTTTTTTTTTTCCTGATTACAACTGAAAAAAAAATCAATGTTGATAACTGAATAAGTAATGCGATAACAACTGAAAATAAAATGAAATCTGGGATAGCAAAACTTGTTATCTAGTTGATATCAGGTTGTTATTTTACTTTAAGCTTTAATAATGGAATTGATACTCTCTTTTACTTTGTGATTGATTAAATCGGCAGCTCGAGACGGATTTACTCTACTAGTCTTGAACTCACTCTGGATGTTATTTGAAGCTATTCAAAGTCAAAGTCCTAAAAATTTTCCTATACTATCCTTAAACATTATTTAAGGATAACAAAACTCTGCAGCTTCTTAAGTTGTCCATATATCTTGCAATCTAATCGACAATTGAATGCAATATTTTTTCAGTTGTCTATCTCTTTTGAGAGCATTATTGACAACATGGTAAAATATGTCAAGATGTTGAAAATGTTAAGGTTTTTTAGCGATTTAATTCTGGAACAGAAGTGTGGCACGTTGAGAGAATTAAGACCGCAGCTATCAGTATTTGTTCTAGCAGTCCTTTAGACGAACATCAACCAAGCTTAATTTTTATGATTTGCCATACTGTCATACTGGTCTCATCTGGAAGTAGAAATTGTTTTCAATTTCACACGCTAGTTCTTTCGGAAAACTCCACTGACTTCGCTTGGAACTTTCTACCAACTTCCCCAGAAGATCTAGTTTTTTTTTCAGAAATCTTACTGGAATTTGTTCCTACTTTCCAACTTCCTACTTCAATTACTCTCACGTTGCCCCGGAAGTTTCCTTTGGAAGTTTCTTCTAGCTTCTACGGAAACGTTTATTTGATTTTACCCAGAAGCTTTTCCTCACTTCGCACGAAAGTTTATTCCATAATAATCTCGGATATTTATTTAAACTTTCCCCGGTTGCTTCTAAAGGGTGACTTTTCATTTTGAAATTCTCGGTTTTCTCGGTTCAAATCTTAAAAATTTCCCGATTGTTGATATTCAACAAAAAACGAAGTTGTACGCATAATAACCACTGTAAATTTTCAGTGGTTATTTGTGGGAAAAGTAAAAGCCAAATTACAGAAAGTATTTTCTAAACCTATAGGAAAAATTCCACTCCATGAGCCACTTAATGAATTCAAAACAATTTATTGATCTTTCGAGATACTTTGATAAATCGAATTCTACCACTTTTTATGCTCGATACATCTTATGATTTCAAAGCCCTAGAATTTACTGAGTGACAGAGATTGAGGTCACTGGGCCAAATGCTATCTGGATCAATAAGGTTATTAGACAGAATTATGAAGAATAAGAAATTTAATTAAAAAAATGTTTAAGAAAAATGAACTTGATACAAATGAGAATTGTAGCAAATTGATAGTGATATCGGAAAAAGAAAATGTGTATTCACTCCATTGTCTATACTAACATTAACATTAACCTTTCAGTACTCGCGCTGATGTACAAAGTTAAACTCTAAAAAAATATGCGAAACCTACTGAGCTCGCTCAACGTGAAACAAAACATGGTTCATGAAATTTAATACCCACGATCAATAGACCAATACTTGAAAAAAAATTACTGAAAGATTATTTGCTAAAAGCATAGATTCCCAAGATTCTGGGGCTTTGCAATTTGTGTAGAGTCTGAAAAAAGAACTTTTCTTCAAAATTTGGGATTAATAACAATCTTCGTGATACAAGATTTGGAGAAAAAATAGTAAAAAAGTGTGAGATTTTAAAAAATTTCCAAGATCACAGATTTGAAACAAAATAATATCATATTTATTAGTAACAATTGTCAAGGCTCTAAGACTTGGAAGCATTTTAAAAGTTAAAACAAATTACAGAACAATCGATAGAATCTTGCGGACAAACCCTGGTATTTTCAGTAAAATTTAAAAGTATTCAAAGTGTTGATTTCAAACAACTATTGAGCAGGATCCCACATAGTTTTCGAAGGAGAAGTTCGGAGCGGAATTCCAGAATAATTCTGACATGAAGTCCTTAGAAATTGTTTGAAGAGATGTGGAGAAGATTGAATTATTAGGTAATTTTTAAAGAATTCCAAGAGAATTATGATGAGAATTCAACAAGACACAGAGTTCTAGCGATCATTTCAACCCTAGTGTGAAAGATTCATCAAAGAGCTCCAACAAAATTCATTGTGAAAAATTTCTAATAATTAGAAAGAAATTCTTTAAAATACTTCAAGGGGTTTCTAAAAAAGCTTATGAAAACCATCCAACTTTTCAAAAATCTCCCATTATAAAAATGGCACGGGCCAGGTAATCAGTTCGAGCAGTTATCACGTTTCCGGATTCCCGAGAAATAAGTTTCTTTTCCCGGGAAACCACTATCATTTTAATGAAGAGATGAACTAGCCTCAGGCTAAAAATCTCTAAAATAAAGACAATAAAAAAAAAAAAAAAAAAAAATATCATTTTAATGTTGATATATGGATATATAGTGCTAATCATAAATTTTCACTTAAAACACATCGGGTGTTAAACTATTCCACGGATATTTACACTCTGCAATATAGAACTATTACTAAATTTATAAAAACTTCCACATGAAGCCGATAAAACCTTCCTGAAGAAGAAAAAATACAGAGAAGTCGGAAGAAAGTTCTAAGGAGAAGCCGAATAAACCTTCCGGGACACCTGAAAGTATTCTGGTAGAAGTTGGGAGGAAGTTCTAGCAGAATTTAGAATAATCTTTCAGTGCAATTCAGAAGACAATATTTCTAGAAGGTTTCGTAAGAAGAAATTAGTGCAAATTAAAAAAAAAACTTCTAAGGAAATTGAGTTGAAATATACTTCTGATAAAAATTAGAAAAACCTTTCGGGATAAGACAGTAGAAACATCCAATAGTAGTTGGAATACACTTACAGGGGAAGCCAGAATAATCTGCAAGTAGAAGATGGAAGAAAATTCTGAGGAAAGTAAGAAGAAATTCCCGAGAAAAATCAGAAGAAACCGAAAGAAGGTGGATAAATCTAAATCTAAAATAAATCGTCCATTATATAAACTTAATTGAATCCAAAAATCTTCTATTTGAGCAACACTGAGAAGCTAACAATCTAAGCTAACCAGGTTTTTAAGCATACAATAAAGAACTAGAACACTCAATAATAGGTACCACTCTAGGCAGTCAAGGCGCTGCTTGCCTAATAGCCTTTGACTCAATATTCAATCATACCCGAGCAGGAAAAAATAACTAATCAATACCAAATTCAGATATGAATATAGCATAACTGGCAACCTAAATATGGTAATAGTAAAGCTGAAATAAGTAGTAAAATACTAAAAATAATACCTCAAAAATATTCTACGAATAACGAACTAATAAATAATTTAGTTATTACAATAACAGACGGATAACAGACGCTTTTTAAGATGTCAGAATACCATAGTTTGTTATTTTGAAGGTCTTCTAATACCAATTCAATAACTCTTTTAGGTGTTATTGTCTAAAAATTGAAAGATCACATTTTGATATTTTGGTATTCATTTGATATTTTAGAAAATATTTCGATAACTGAACAATATCAAAACAAGGTTTTATACCACAAGCATACCAAAATCTGTTATACTACATTAAGATATTCATTTGTTATCGATTAGCTATCGGATCCTGCTCGGGTAGCCATGCTTCTCCAAGCAAACAACAGTTAAGATCATATTCCTAGATTCTCATTGATAGAGTGGTTAATTTAAGCATATAATGAAGAATTTTTCCCTTAGCTCTTTACCATTCTTGCATTTACACAAACACGTTCCAACCCCGAGGTCCAGTATTCACCCAGAGATGCACCAATCCACGTGGAGGTTCATTGTGTTGGAACTCAACTAGGTTTAGTATCCATTAAGAGACACACTAGCCCACTAGGGCGGTTAAGGTTGGTTGGTATTTAAGAGGCTTTCAGCCGTAGAACCTTGGAGGTTAAGTTTTGATACAACCAAAACGTCTACCGTCTTATCAAAGACGCAAATACATTTTTACTGACCCTCTGGATCCCACTGCAACTCAGGAACGTGCCAGCCCAGTGTGAGTTTGATTTTTGTGGATATTCAATGTCCAAAAAATAAAAATAACCTTTACTTGAGCAACCACATGCTCGCCACTCTATTGATTTGATTTATTTACATACATCCTCAAACATTGCCGAGCGATAATATTGTGTGAGCCTGGTGTGATCAGTCATACTGTTAAGTAATGAGAGACGATTAAGAAATATTTCCCTAGATTTTAATGGAATTCCCTGAGATTCCAGGTCCAAAATTGAATTTCCTGAAAATTCCTGATTTTCAAAGTTTCTCCAGCTTTTCGACACCCTATTTCAAATATGATGTCCATTCTTGAGGGGGTCCTTGAATTACGTGACATTACGTATAGTAAGTATTCGTTACACAGGGGGGGGGGATAAAAAATCGAATAAATTAATTGTTTAAAAACTACATCAGGTGAAAGATCAGGGCCAAACAATATATATCTGGATTCCCGATTTAACAATGGATTCCTGACTTTTCCCGAACGAGTGGGGTGTGTAATTTTGATTTCTCAGTCATTGGAGAAGTAATAAATCGAGCCAAACGTGGATTATGTATATCCTAAATTACATAATCAGATTCCCTTTGTCAATGTTCTATTCGCATCCCCACGGCCATGTAAAGATATTTAGAGCTATGTTTAACAAATTGTTCCATGAAAGAAGCTATTATCTAGCAATTAATACTGCACACACGACAATAAACAGTTTTGTAGCTAAGTTATAAACCAAGGAGAAAGTCGATCAACGTTACTCAGGACCTAATCCATTGTTCGTCTTGAAATGTTTGATTTTTTTTCATCGTCGGAGAGTCCAAAATTCCCATTTCCCAAAAAAAAAATATATCAAAACCATCACCATTCTCAAAACAACGTAAAATTTACAACTTCTTCATCTCAACTCACCTGGCAGGGTCTTCCTCGACAATCATGTCCTCACCGGACTTCCAAACATCCACCATGATGATCGAGATCTTCGCTAGAGTTGGTCGAACGACACCACTGAACTTTTCAATAAAACAATGATCTTAGAATTTCACACCAATCCCGCTCTCTTACTTCACAACCTCACCAAACTGTGGTCACTTTAGTAATTCACTTGATTTTTTTTTTCCTTCCTTAACTCTTCAGAATCACTTTTTGATTGCCTCCAATTTGGGCAACGCACTTTTGCTGCTGCTGCTGCTGTTGGTAATACTTTCCTCTTCACAATCGACACGAGCTGGAGGAATGAAGTAGAAAATCATCACAATTTGTTGGTTAAAACTTTGCTTAAACTGGATTTTGAACAATTTTTTTTTTCGAAAGCACTCTTGATTAAATTTTATTGTGATTCAACAACTCCAACTATTTTTGTTTGCCGCTTGCCTTCCCTTCACGTGTGTTATTGTTATTGTTTTCTTCTTGAACTTCTCGTCTTCAGCAGTGCGTGATTCCTGTGGATGATGATGATGATGATGTTGATACTCATTCACTTTCCATGCATCACTTTTCTTGCTCCTGCACAATGCTATTTTGTTGTTATCAGTTGTTGTTGCTGTCGTCGTTGTCACTATTGAACCCGTCTCACTCGCTCTTTCCTCCGCTCACTGCTTTCGGGTTGTTGCTGCTGCTGCCCTACCGACCGATACCGATCGAAAGGTGCGGGGGAGGCAGCAGACGGGGAAACACCGCACGAACGAGCGACACACACACAGGATGCCACGCCGCGAGCACAAGGACGGAGCGTAAAAACAATTGGGGCTACTCAAATCACTCACTCGCACTCACCCTCTCACGCTCACCTTGCTTCACTCCGAGCACGCTACATGTGTGGAGGCAGGGTACACGGAATATAGTAGTAACGTAGAGGCTAATATAATGTCGCACAAAATCACTTTTTTTTTTCCTGCTCTTCTAATAACATCCGTCGTACTGCCGGAGCTGATGGAACACGTTTTTCTTTTTCACCGTGACGACCATGCAGCAATATTTGTATCCGATTCGGCCCTGAAATTCGGGCACTGTAGAGAAGACTCTCCTCCTTAAACACTAGACGATGCGAATTCTACTCTCACAGCACACTTCGATATGCGCATTCCACTTTTCTTGGTGCACTACTTTCCGCCTGCTTCGACCCGTTATATCCTTTTCTTCGTCTAGAAAATCCCGCGATACGCACAGGTTCTTCGTTCGATTTTTGGGTAGGTTAGGCACCTAATTACTCCTCTTGTGCCTCTCCTTTCTATACGTCGTCGACGACGTGTTCCGAAGAAAAAAAACAATGTTGATGATGATCGAAAGCAAACACTCCGAAAAAACGATATCACTCTTCAAAAAACAGGGGGAACACGCACTGGTTCGAGACTCGCCGGATAACCCCTCTATAGTAGGCGCTGCTCTGTGTAGAAGGTACACACGAGTAGAGAGACCGAGAGCGAAAAATCCGCACAACACACTTTGCCGACTTTCAGCCGATTTCTGGTGGCGGGAAACAGCTGAGTCCGTAGGTGACGCTATGTTGTTGTATTGCTACGCGTTTGGGCGGTAACGGTCGAAAACGCTCAAATCGAGCTCCGACCCCGCCGAACCAAACCGGAAACGGTACTTTCACCTCAAAACACCCGAAATTACCGCACCTTTGTCACAACAGCACCGGGAAAACATCGTTCCTAGTGTAAAATCACACTGGATCTAGATTCGTCTCGCGTAGTAAAAAATGCGCTACGGTCGCAGAGACGCGTCCGCTCGTGGGCGAAACAACGAGAAACCGAAATGGAAACGAGGCACAGCGAACGAACGAGTGAGGGGAACAACGACGACGACGACGACGGTAGCAGCGGTAGCGAGTGGCTGTGAGTGTAGTGGTACCCTATAGGAACGGATGCCGCGGCGACTGCAAGTGTGTTGGGATAAATTACGTCTTTTCTTTGCGGCCACCAACACACGTCCAACCAACAGCCGAATCATTAAATTTTGGTTTGTTGTGTTGCGCGATCATCGGCCGTCAGTAGTGTTCGTCACTAATCATCGACGTCCGCCGACCCGGCGAGAGCTAGCGGTGTGAGCGAGAAGGCATTTTTTATGCCTGCCGGAGCTTTTCCGTTCGGGTAAATAAGCGGCTGATGGGTTGTACAAACAAGAGAGGGGCAAAGCTTTCGTTTGGGGTGGTGTGCATGCGGTGGGAAATGTTCGCATCGACGCATACAGATGCATCGGATTACCGTGCAGCAGTCGGTTGGTGCGGGGCGCGTTTAGTAGTGCCGCTGATGCAAGCGAAAACCACGCGGTTGATAATAAAGGGCAGTTCACAAATTATGGAACGCCAAAAATGGCACGGAACGCTATTTTCCCTAAAGCAAGAAAAGACATAAATGGCAATTATATTGCTGATTGCATCTGAAACTGGACGGTCCTAAAAATGCAAAAAGTGTGATAGAAGTGCACATTTCCGTCAAATCGTGTTGTCTTGGGAGCACTTATTGTTTGCATCATAAGGAACAAGTGCAAAGAAGACACCAAGACGATTAGATGTAAACTTGCAATTTTATCACACTTTTTAATAAGTGAAAACGCGCTTATTAGTCCAATTTGGTGAGAAATGCGCAATAATTGCTATCATAAAATGTATGCCTTGAGGAAAGTAGTCAAGGAGGCAAAATAACATGAGAATTCCATAAGAACCACTTAGGAATTTTAGCCACAAGATATCAGAATGAATTTCAATGATTTGCCTTAGACGTTGAAATTACGGGGCCCGCATGTTGACCACTCGTCCTTCAACGCTTGGGAAAATGAAATGGCTACAGGCGTACCCTAATAAAAATTGTATGGTTAATTTGCTTAACGACGTGTTCTGGGTATCATCCAAACCATTTGTGGAATAGTTCAATGATTTGGGTTATCGTTCGTTTATGGTTATTTTTTATTAGGGTACACGCAGGCAAAAGAACGTAAGAATTCCATAAGAAACATTTCAAGAGCCACATGTGAAAAGGGCATACAAGCTTTTTGTAAACAAACCTTTGTAGGCCCTTTTCTCACCAACCGAGAGTTGCTCACGCAAACTAACAACATCATCGGGAAGGGTAAAGATTCCCCTACCCGATGATGATAATGGTTTGCGTTGGTGTCATATGGGTGGCGAGAAAAGGGCATAAGAAGGTTTGTTTACAAAAAGCTTGTATGCCCCTTTCACATGTTGTTCTTGATTTGTGAATTTTAGCCATAAGAAATGAGTGTGAATTTCATTGATTTGCCTTATGAAAAATAATGTTGACGAAAAAATAATAAATCGGAGCAGACTGGAACCGAACAATGGACGTTGAGATTTCACTTAAAAAATTGCACACGTCATTATCATGTGTTCTTAATTTTGCGCTTATTGTGAAACACATCTATTTCATGTGTGAATCTTATGCTATGTACCATGCCTGAACATTATGGATTTGAATTGTGACATACTTGGATTCTATGTGCCTCATATGGTGATATCAATAGCTTTGCACATCATAGTTCAATATTCTACCACAGACAAAATTCTACTTTATCGACTTCTATTTTACCGACTCTAAAAATGAATCGACAAATATATAAACAAATTTCAGAGGCCAGAGCTTTCACATATCTTTTTAATGGGTCTGATTTGGGATTCGATCATGAACTGTTGGGGTGTGCTGCTTTCGGAGTCTTCGTTCGATCTCACTGTGCCACGGTTGTTCTCATATATGAGGTGGGTTGATAGGATAAAGTCACAACTCTTGTTTTCGATGTTTACCTTTCTGAGCAAGCAATTCACATCGTATTGAAATGCAAAACACTTTAAATCCATCTGTTTTGAACAGTAGTGTGATTCAATGTGCAATACACTTGAATAGATAGTGAAAGATTTTCAACTTTTCAAAGTTTGAAACACTAGAAATTAACGTGTATAACACATTGAACTAAGGTGAAATACACTTAAAGTAAATGTGATGGTGCATTTAAAAAATCAAGTGTTTAAACACTTCGATCAAACGTGTGGATTTTTTTGAGTGTACGGAGTTTATGTGTTGACCACTCGTCTTTCAACGCTTAAGAAAATGGAATGGCTAAAGGCGTATAAGAGCTTCGTTATTTTAGACGAAAATCTTTCATATGTCGCGCTTATGAAATTCATATTTGTCGTTCATAAGTCGAGCCTTATGAAATTCTTAGTTCTACTTCCCTTTGTCGATGCACTACGAACAAACCCTCGACTTAATTCGAATGGTGTAGTTGACTTAAAAATAGTTTCAGGCGGATTGATTGTAATCTAATTTAGTTACAGCCAGAAATGTAATGGTATTTTTTTGTCTCATTGTCTTGAGTCTTGAACATTAAGACACATGTTTAAATATGGTTATATTCATAAAATTATTGTTCGACCGCATCTTAAATTATATTTGCCACGTCGTGTGGTTTATCGAGTTAGGTAATGATCATAAATTACGATATTCGTTTTTTGGCCCGTATTCCTTTATTCGAATTCCTAGATGCTTCAGCTTCGGCAGGTAGAATGCTCACCAGATATGCCGTCCTTTTCAGCAAACTAGCGGCGTCCAAGTTGGAAAAACTAATACGAAATCTGGGAACAAGGATTCCTCACTGCACAGTGGTCGCAGAAGGGCGAATTTCAGGAGAAAAAAAATGCATGAAAATGAAGTTTGATTGATTTGGAGTCTGCAGAAAAGTTATTAGTTAAAATAAGTTAAAGAAGTTTTACTCATTGGGACTCCACTTGAAAATTCTAACTTTTTTGACCGACGATTTTCAATATTGCAATGTTCTAGAACTTATCATTTCCTTAAAATTTGTGGAAGACACAAATTTGCTAGCATGTCATCTTATTTGAAAAATAAAGCATTCTTTATGGAAGCCCCCTTAAAATAGATTTTTATGGCTTTAACTTTTTTGTTTGATTTTTTCCAAGACATACTATGGCATAGTATGGACCGTTCCACAGCTGTAGTCAGAGGGTGGCCATAACTCAGAATTTTTTTTTTTAGTTCTTGAAAAAAAATTCAAGCGTCAAGTCCGTCTATGCTCATAATTTTAACGGAAAAAAACAAAATCAACCGCGTTACGAAAATTGGTCAGGTTTCGACCACTTATAGCTCTGTCAATAGGGATGGATTTTAATTCTAAACAAGCCAATCTATTGGAAATTTTTCTACGAATCTGCTAAAATGAACACCTTTTCAATTTTAAATAGGCCCAACTTGGGATCTAAGTCTCTACCATGGTGGTCCCCAGAGACCAAAGCAGCAGTTAAAGTCAGAAGGAAGGCTCTTCGGGCTACCAAGTGACTACCTACTGACTATCCGTCGAAAGAAGCGGCCATGGCCACCTATAGAGCAAAACGCAACGAGTGCCGGCAAACTATCCGGTCTGCCAAGAGTTGAACTCTGGGAGCAATTTCTGGACAGCATTAATTGCCATCCGGGTAGATGGCAGCACCACTAGAGACCCTGATAAGATCGCCCACGCTATTGGCTAACATTTTGCATCTCTCTTGGCAATTGACGGGTACGATGATCGCTTTCGTCGTGTAAAAAACCTTTCGACGCACTCTTTGGACAGCATCTACATCCCAGAGGATGAACTGCCGTTGGAGATTAATCGACCTTTCATGCCACGGGAACTCAACCTAGCTCTACCCAAGGCTACCGGGAAATCGGCTGGCCCAGATGACGTCGCTAAAAAAGATATCACTGAAATGCAAGACCACACACTTAGAAAAAATCACCGACTTCGGTAATTCATTTACCGAATTCTTAACAGCTGAACGGTCGGTCATCGAGAACATTACCGAAACATCTGTAAACTGGATCAGCAAAATTAGCTATCAAATTTACCGAACGATCGGTAACGTTTACCGATGTGCATTGCTTGATTTGTAGTCGACTTTACCGGAGAACTGTAATTTTGAGGACGATATGCAAATCGAAAATTACCGAAAGATCTGTAATTTTTTGAAAAGGTAACCGACTCAACTGTAATTTGCTTTAATATTGTTTCAAGGTGGTGGTCACTGCGACCCATGCAACAATTTTGCTGCAGTCGTGATCAATGTGTTAAGGCCCAAGCGCAATGTGGGCGGAAGCGGAACGGAAACGGAAAGTTTGACAGTTGTCACAAATGGCATCAAGATGCCTAACCGAAGTCGATTTGATTCTAACTAGTTTTCACTCCGACAAGTAGGCTTACTCAGCTCGGGCTTTTCCGCTGCCGCTGCCGTTCCGCTTCCGCTGTCATTACGCTTGGGCCTTTAGTGTAGCAAATTGCGAAAACAAGTTTTCATCGGAAGGATTCGGCGCTACACTGAAAACAGGGAAGCATTGGATGAAGATTCCAAATGCTGTTTTCAGATCGTCGTCAACGAGAATGGAACTTGGACCGACAGAAAAAAAAACAAGTAACAACATCGGCCATCTGTAATCAGTATTTATTTAGATAACGAAAATAAATTACTCACGGAAAATATCTACGAATCG